TCTTTCTTCTTGTGGAGTACGTGCTAGAACAATTATTGAAGTTTTATAGAAAAAAAATCCGGGAAAGTACATTCATGCTCGTAACGTATATAACGCAATTCAAATAAACCGGATTCAAAAAGAGTCAATAAGTGATGCTGGAGCTATGTATCTGGAACTCTTAAAACAACAAAAAATGGATCCTACTTTTTACATTAGTGCATATTTTGAAGGTCATGATAACTGTCTTGCAAGGTTATTTTGGATGAGCCCCAGTCAACAGCAGTTGTGAGCGCGATTCCATGACATTGTTCTACTTGACTCCACTGCAAAAATGAATCGCCATTCAATGATATTGTGCGTTATTATTTTAATAGATAATCATAATCGCTCACGTCTTGTGGCGACTGCTGTCGTCTCAGATGAAACAAAAGATACATACATTTGGATATTCGAGAATATAATTAAGGCAACTGGTGGGTTGGCACCACGTTTACTCTATACAGATGCTGATCCCGTGATGATTGCGGCGGTAGATAGTTGCTTGCCAATGACAAAACATCACTTCTGTCTATTCCATATCCATAAAAATTTAGAGAAGCACTTTCTTGGTAAATACCATGATAATTGGAAAAAAATTTTTAATGACTTTTGTTATGTACGAAATAGTCGAAGTGAATTAGTTTTTGAGAAAAGATGGTGTGAATTGTTATACAAATATACCGATGCCTCTAGTTATCTGAATTCTCAACTCTATCAACACAGGGAGGCTTGGGCTCTGTGCTTTACACACCGTGCATTCAATGCCAGTGTGCAAAGCACACAACGTGTTGAATCATATAATGGAATAATCAAAACTCAAGTAAATGGGCTTTCATCTCTTTTGGAATTGGAAAATAGTATAAAGAGATTATTGGAAAGAGAGAGCCGTTTTACACGTATTAATAAAACCATTGGCCTACTTCCTGTAAACCGGGATGAAAGTTTCTATAATAAATATTTTAATAATATCGATACATCAATTCAGAAGTTCTTAACACCGGCAATTCTGAAACTCCAACGGGATGAGATTAACCGTAGCATTCATTATCGGTGTTATATTGCCAGCTTGAAAGATGAACTTAGGAATAATGTGAGATAAAGTGTTATTATGTTATTAGTTATTGTTATTATGAGATTAATGATATATTTGATATGTTTTTTACAAATATATAAGGCCGATGCAGAATCACCAAATGGGATGTTTTCAGAGGATATGTTCGATGCAAACGTAATTAAATTGGAACAGCTAATCGCTGGTATAGGATGGACAAGGATATCAG